AACAAGAAAATGACACTTTGTAAAAGGGTCCTTGGCAATTTCAGTAAATTCTGAGTGGAAAAAAGGTGGAAATTACCTTTTAGCATTGTTTTACTGATTGGCCACACTGCCTTTCTATCCTGAAGCCTTTGCACAGGCAGATCTCTAACAGAGCAGGAGTTATATACTTGGATTAGGATTTAAGACTGCAATTAAGGACAAATTCATCTAAATCTGCTCTGGCATCTGAGACTTTTTTCCCAGTGCTCAATCAGGATAAGTGTGGTGGCTGTGGAGAAGCACATCCTGGGATTCAAAGCTTATTTGATGGGATGGGCATGGAAAGAACTTCAGGGGTTCTGGAATGGAATGGAATGGAATGGAATGGAATGGAATGGAATGGAATAGAATAGAATAGAATAGAATAGAATAGAATAGAATAGAATAGAATAGAATAGAATAGAATAGAATAATAGAATAGAAATAGGAATAGAATAGGAATATAACACCACAGGACAGGGATAGGGATAGGGATTGGGAAAGTCAGGATACCACCACTGAGGGACTAGGACTTTTCCCATCCAAGGTTTGTTTTGTGGTTGAATACACCCAGCCTGGTGGGCATATTTGTCATTCTCACTATTCCTTGCTTTTCAGCTCAGGTATTCCACTGAAGACTGTTCCTTTGAGGAGGAGATTCGCCCAGACGGCTACAACGTGTATCGATCCAAAAAACATGGAATATCAGTGTCTTTGAGCAGTGCCAAACAAAGACAGCAGTTCAAGGGGAAGGATTTCCTTCCCCTGTCTCACTTCTTGCCCATGATCAACACGGTGCCCATGGAGTCAGCAGACTTTGGTGAATATGGTGATTACAGCCAGGCCTTTGAGCCAGAGGCGTTCTCCTCACCCCTGGAGACGGACAGCATGGATCCCTTTGGCATTGCCTCCAAACTGTCCCCAGTGAAGAGCCCCAGCTTCCAGAACTGACTGTGCTCCCACACACGTTTTCACAGAAATATTGAAGAGGACTGTAGGGTTTGTAGCTTTCTGTGTAGTGATATTTGGGAACTTTTTTGTGTGTTTGAGTATGGAGCCAGCCTCGTCCTTGTTGTACCTGCAAGAGATGAGTGCCTGTTCTATAGTCTAAAGAATTGCCTGTCCATAGTTTTGTTTGGAAAAGCAGGATTAAATGCGAAAACTTTAGTGACCTTATCAGAATTCCTCCATAGGTGGTGATAAAATAACTGTAATTTTTATACACCAGCTACACTTCCACATATATTTACCTGTTATAGCTGCTCATACAAGCAAATGCAGAAAACGTTTTCCTCTTCAGAGATCCCAACTCAAACACTTGGACCAAAACTAGATGAAGGAAAACATCCTACCAGATGTAACTTGAGTTAATGCTGCTTCTTTAAAGGGCTGCTAACAACATTCTGGGGAAGATCTCCTATGGAAAGCATACTGCTGAAAAAACAAATCTGCTTGTACATTGTGCTTTTTCTTCCCTTAGAAAATAAGAGAAGAAAGGGAAAAATTTCTCCCTTTCCTTACTGGTAAGAGGTAATTTGGGAAACTTGATCATTGATTTCTTTTGTAGGCTAAATTATGTTCTCTGATTCTGCATCAGAATCACCCAGCAGAGAGTTCTCATCAAAATCAGTGAGGATTCAGTGTGCGGTTGGAAGGGTGCCCAGGGCTAGAATTGATGTTCATCGGGTAGGGAATGAGCAGCTCAAATGAATGTTTAAACGAAGATTGTGTTGTATATAAGCATGTATATGTCATTAGCAAATAGAGAAGAACACTGAGAACGGATGTATAGGTCAAATCAGTTATAAAATAGGTTTTTGTGTTCAACCTTTAACCACCAGGAATTCTTTCAAGTCACTTCCAGGCTTGATTCAGCATCCATGGGAATCAGTGGAGAGATGGTTTAGTGAGATAAAAGCTGCAGAACTGGGTCAGGATTCTCCTTGCAAGAAGGGATTGTGAGGACTTCTGGCCAAGGCACTCAATGTCTTCAAGTTCTGTTCTCCCTCTGAAAAGATTCAATGAAGGAATAGCCAAGGTGAAGCCAAAGGGGGGAAAAAAAGGATGGTTCAGGGATTCTACTTGTTTCCAAAGGTTCATTTACAAGATAGATTTCTGTACCAAAAAAAAAGAAAAAAAAAAAAAAAAAGAAAAGAAAAAAAAAGCTTTACTGGAAATACCAGTTTTTCTGACCTAGCACTTCATTGCCAATGCAATATTTATAATTAATTTATTGAATACGTACATTTGTTTATTTTGTTACTGTTATTTATGCTCAAGATTCTATTTATATACTTCTGAATATAGGTTTTTTAGTTGTAACAAATCTTGTGCAGTTTTGTAATCAACAGAATTTTAGTCAAGAATAGCCAATTTTTAAATAGCTGTAATTTTAGCTAATTTTTAAATTTCTGTGCATTATCATTAGTGTAATGTGTACATTTGCAATAAAAGAGAAAATCATCTTCAACACTGAAATCTGCTTGACTCTTCTGTCTCTCCACAAGTGCCACATCCACACATCTTTTAAATACCTCCAGAGATGGTGACTCAACCACTTCCCTTGACAAAAAAAAATCCTCTGGGTAGAAGGCTTCTCCCATTTAAAAATGGGAACCATTCTAACCAGTGCTGCCAGGGAGAAAAGTGGTGTGAGTTTTGCCTGAAAAAGATGTCAGTTTCTGGCAGGAAAAGAGCCTGAATGTTTCCATTTGGAAATGCTGTGAGACACAGGAACGGCAGATTTCTTGGCCGGCAAACACCTCCCATGGTGTTGTCCCATTCTCTTTTGTGCTGAGCCACTGCCACACATCCGGAGGGCTCCTACTCCTCGTTTGCTGGAAGACGTTGTTCTGATTTCCAGGTTGTTTTATTCCAAAACTTTTCAGATTTCAGGGGGTTTCATTTCCAGTTCTGATCAGTCACTATATTTTCCTTGAACGCCTTTCAAAACCTTTCTTAAAAAAAAAAAAAAAAAAAAGGCAAAACAAACAAAACACAAAAAGCCAGAAAACAATATAAGAATGAACTTTTGAAGTTGGGGCAAGAAAAGAAAAATCACTTTTCTGCTAAAAACTTGCACAGATTTGACAGGAAACATGGCAAATAATGGAGTTTGGAGGGTACACAATTTAATTGACCCAGTGAGAGATTTTTTAAGTGGGTGTAACATTGTGAATATTTCTCAAGGATGCAAAGACAGGCAACCTTACATTTTGGGAACATAATCTTGAGCTCTCTTGTGACCCTGTTTGCTGACACCTTTGGCTTACATTCTTCCAGCGGCAGCACGATGATTTTTCCGGCAACAGCACGGTTAGAGGTTGGTTCAATATTTATTCAGACAGAGGGAAGAATGCCAGGAGCTAAATTAACCCATACCACTTCCTGGAGAGCTCCAGTTTTCGTTGGAGTTTTCCCATCCCAGCTCTGACCAAACCTGGCTGTTTTGCTTATAAAATCTGACAAGATCTCGGCTTGAGGTTGGAGGACTGCTGGGAAACGCTTCCCCTGCCCTGCGACACCTGACTCGGTCAGGAACCGGGCGTGCAAAACCTCCAAAAAGCACCTTTGGTTCTGTGGGAAAGTAAACACCAGCAGCAGCACCCATCAGCACACCCCATCCCCTGCCCATCAGAGCTGCTCAAAGGCAGGGGGACAATGGAGGTGCTTTCATTTGCAACAGAACATTTTACAGCCCCGAAACGTTTTTAAAGCTCAGGTGTCAAATGTCTCCTTGGGAAGTCTCAGCTGGAAGCTGTGATGTGCAAATACGAGATGCTAGAGGAGCGGGAAAGGGGATACTGAGCGTCTTCATTTCCACTGGGAGGAAGTGTGAAAACCTATAAATCAATTCAAATTCACAGTGTCCATTTTACCTCTGCTCAAATCATTGAAACCCTGTTAGTGGATAATTTGGGGGCCACTCTTTCTACTCTGCCAGTGTACTTTTCATATGAATGGGGAGCAACTTGATAAATTAAATAAAATTTCCCTTTTTTTCCCCACAAAAATATATGTATTCTAACAGCAGGGTGGTAGAATAGTGTGACCCAGAGCCACATTTTATTAAGTCTCTGGAAAATAGAATAAGTTAACTTTAACATATGTGCTTGTAAATGAGTATAAATGTTTCCTTTGACTAGTGTTGATCTGTAACAACTCCTAAGTATTTTAATAGAGCAGCCTAGAAGGACACACTACAGTTTGGGTGGGTAATAACACCAAAAATATTTATGTTTTAGAATCATAGACTGGTTTGGGTCAGAAAGGACTTCAAAGATCATTTAATTCCAGGGGCAGGGACACCTTTCCACGTTGCTCAGAGCCCCATCCAAACTGGCCTTGGACACTTCCCAGGGATGGCGCCTCCACAGCTTCTCTGGGCAGCCTGTGCCAGGGCCGCACCACCCTCACAGGGAACAATTGTGGGGACACACCAAATATACACTTCTTGAAAGCCACAGACAACAATGTTACATGAGAGAGATGTGCAAACTCCATCATTCCGTGACCAGCGACAGCAACCGGGAGGACGGCCTGGAGCTGCCTCAAGCTCAGGCTGGATACCGGGACAAGGCTCCTCACCCACAGCGAGCCGGGGCACTGGACCCGGCTCCGCACGGCAGGGCGGAACTCAGGGAGGGTCTGGACACCGCTTTGAGCCACAGGGTGGGATTTCTGGGAGGCACAGTGGGATTTTTGGCACACTGGGCGGGATTTTTGGAACACTGGGTGGGATTTCTGGGACACCGACGTTTCCCTACGGACGGCCGGGGCCGGATCTGTGGCGGCGCTCGGGCGCCCCCTGGTGGCCGCACGCCATCGTCGCCTGTGGGCGTGGCTTACAGTGGGGGCGTGGTCTGTGATTATGAGCCACGCCCCCTCCCGCGCGCCGTCCGCTCCCGGCGTGCCCCGCGCCGCCATGGCCGACCTGTTCGATGGGATCGTGATGGCCGAGCAGAGGTGGGGGCACGGAGCCAGTCTGGAGTGGCCCCACAGCGGCTTCTCTACAGCACGGGGCTCCCCCGGCGCTCCGCTTCCCTCTGGGAGCTGCCAGGGGAGCGTCAGGGAAAGGAGGGCGAGCGCTGAGCCCGAGGAGGAGGGCGGGGAAAATTCGCCTCCCTGCGCGTTCTGAGGGAGCGATCGGCGCGAACGACCTGGAGCTGAGGCGGGGAGGTTTGGGCTGGGTATAGGGATGGGTTCTTCATGCAGGGGATGGTCGGACGCTGGGACAGGCCGCCAGGGGAATTGGTGTCAGCACACAGAGGGACCCACGCCGGCAGGCTGGGTTGCTGGGCTGAGAGCAGCGGGGTGAGGGTCAGCAAGGCCGAGTGCCGGGTCCTTGGGCCGCCTCAGCCCTCTGCAGCCTTCCAGGATAGCCGGAGAGTCCCTGCAAAGCATCCCAGAGGGAAAGGGCCTGGGGGTGCTGTCAGAGAGCTGCTGAACACGAGCCCAGGTGGCCGAGAAGGACAATGGCATCCTGGCATTGTCAGCAGGAGCATGGCAGTGACCGTGCCCGTGTTCTGGGCACCGCTGAGGCCCCACATTGAATTGTGGGGTCAGTTGCGGGTCCCACGCTACAAGAAAGACTTTGAGGTGCTTAAGAGTGTCCAGAGAAGGGAATTGAGCTGGGGCAGGCTCTGGAGCACAAGTCGGATGAGAAGTGGCTGGGGAGGCTCAGCCTGGAGAAAAGGAGGCTCAGGGAGAACCTTCTCTCTCTACAGCTCCCTGACAGGAGCCCCCCATGTGGGGCCAGACTTTACTCGCTGGTTACAAGTGACAGGACAAGAAGAAGTGGCCTTGAGCTGCACCAGAGGAGGTTTAAGTTGGACATAAGGAGGAATTTCTTCATGAAAAAGGTTGCCAGGCCTTGGAAGGGGCAGCCCAGGGAGCTGCTGGAGTCACCACTTCGGGGGGTGCCCAAAGAGCAGCTGGATGTGACACTTAGGGCTCTGGGCTGCTTGACACAGTGATGGTCATTCAAAGGTTGGACTGAATGATCTCAGAGGTCTTTCCCAACCAAAACAAGCCTGTGATTCTGGGATTTAAATTGATTTTATGTGGTATTTGTACGATTTGGAGGCAATGCACGTTTCTGTTGTCAGGAGCCACTTGTGTGCAGTGTGACTGGACAGGAGATTAACCAAGCTGTGGTTCTGCTCTCCCAGGTTCCATGGGGAGATTA